GGATACCCAGGAGGAGCGGCTGCTGTACAGCAGCAGTGGGCGATCAGATCTGTGTCGCCCATCCCGTCACAAACCGGCTCTCAGATCCCCAGGGCTCTCCGCTCACATGAACAGGATTTCAATCTTCAGTAGTCACACAGAAGAGATTTCTACCCACCTGGAGTTTCAGAGCCGCTCTAATAAACCTGTTTATGTATTGAACACTGTGGGGATGCTTGATATTCCTGACAGACATTGCCATAGACAAGTAATCACAGCAATAACCGCCTCTTTTTAATATGCACTTTTTGTTTGTTGTCAAGGTAACATTAAGCCTAAGCAAGTGTTGGAATACAGACATCTTTTAAATTAGCCGTGGGTCATCCTCATCATAACGTCCCAAAGCTTAGCTTTGTGTTTATTAGACCTAACTAGTACAGCGTTGGGCCACAGACCTGCTGCTTGTATTGTTGGATGGGTTGGGTGGTTTCTATCTGCGCTCTCAAGAACAATCATCTGATCAGTTACCAATCAATCAGTCATTCTTTAGCAAAGCGCCAATTCATAATAAGTGTTATCTCGAGACGCTTTACGAAGTCATACAACTGGCACACCCTCGAGTCATTACCAACACAGTCACTAAGTCTGAGGTTAATCATATGAAAAGTTCACAGAGACATGCAAAGGTCAGACACAAAGAATTATAGAATTCAATAACTTTTTTAGTGTGCTTACTAGGGATGTTCCTAGGCGGCTAATTTGCTTGTTGGTTAAACTGAAATACAGTCCAGACTAACTGACTAGTCTAAAGGTAAGACATCCCCAACTGTATGCATGTAAACGATTCAATTTGGTTTGCAGAGTGTGGCTTACGCTAACACTGCAAGCATCGCCAGCCTTCTGTCCTCTCTGCTAGTTAGAATCCACATGTGTGTGCTAAAATGTGGTAATGCATTGCTCTAGTAGATATGCCAGTTTAACCTGACACAGCCTACATGCATTTCTAAATTGGCTAGATGAAAATACTGCCAAGCCACACTGCTCCTACAAGATGGTATCCATTCTCTGAGCTTGTTTACATCTGGGTTAAAGAGCGGTGGACAAAAGGCCCATTAACTGGAGCTACAGCCAGTTAATGGCTACAGCACTGGCTAGTGGCAGGTGGTTACAATGCAAATCCAGAAAAGAAAGAAAATAGTATTGAAAGTTAAAGTTCAAATGTTTGCACCAAATTAATCAGCAAAACAAACTCCATTGTAAAGTATTTTAGGTGAACTATTCTGAAGGTATGTGAGGAACAAAGCAAGAAGAAGAAAGAGGGAAAGACTGAATTTCCTTCACTTAGTTTATTCACAGTTACAGAATAAGCAACTTATATTCCCAATTGGTGACACTTCAGTTCCAGTTGACAACCATCTCATTTCACCTTAAGCAGCTGCCAGAAGCTTCCCTAACAGAAACGGTATCTGGCAGACGCAACTGTCATGAAAAGTTTCTGCCAAAATGGAAATGAAAATACACTCCATGTTTTACCTACTTTAAAAGACATTCAGGTTAGAAGTGCCTAAGGCTGTTTGAACAAGACATACTGTAGTTTAATATTGAATTGATCGCAGTTTGAGGTATTTATCCGAGTACAAGAAGTCTATACAAATACAGTTTGTTGCCTTCTTTATGGTATGTACTCCAACCTGGAAGCATGCTGATCATTTGTGATGTTGTTGCTAATTTAGTTGTTGAATGTGTATAGTAAGAGTAGACCAACAGACCAACCAAGGAAAGAGACTGTTGCAGAATGAGCGCTTGGCAGGCATGTCTGAGGCCACCAGGGTTTACAACTTGGCCATATACCTACATTACACACTTGGCTGAAGGTTATACCTCCAGGTTTGAGGTGAGCTCAAATATCAGTTTGTCAAAAATGCAATTGAAGAAACCTCGAAATACACCCATCACAGCGAGGACAAATCGCTTCTCCATGTCCAGCGATGTGAGGCCCATTAACTGAGAGAATGAACACGATTGAGGGCCTGTTTCTACTCGAGCTGGCAAAGGGCAGGACGGATGATAAACGACCGCTGGACAGTAGGAAAGGACATGAGAAGGAGACGGACTCTGTGGCCATCAAGATGAAATACAGAATGTGTAAGACATAAGATAGCTACTTTCATTTCCCTTACAAATGTTAAACAGTGAAATTGATTAACCAAGTTACTTACGTTTTGTTAACATCGATCATTACGTCCACATTAAAGCCCGACCAGGGACAGGCTAAGAGACAGATTATACATCCAGTAAAGCTTCACCCTGTCAGAGAGTGAATGCTTTTACTAAATGTATCTTTAATGTGCCAATCTCACCCTCAGGTCACATCGGAAATGCAGTCTCAGGTAAATTCAAGCCGTCACGTAGTAAAACCCGCAGCCATAAAGCACCTCAGGAGTGCTTTTATCAGTCTTAATGCACTCTTCAAAGAGCATCCTTCACTCTGCGTGTCCCATCCAGTGGTGCTGCTTGACCGCAGGCAGAGGCTACAGTATCAGCCTCGCTGCACAGATGATGAGAAAGAGCATTTGCGTGACCGATGAGCTTCTTAACCTTTAGGGGTCAGTGAGTGCAACATCAGAGAGTGATGGTCATCCAGATTTAAACCCTGACTAAATTTCTTCTCGTGGAATTATGTTGGATGCCGTCAGCTCTTCTTCAGTCTAATATCCAGTGGTTAAACGGATCACAGCTGATACCGGGTCCGTTGGAATCATCCCCAATAGTTTGGGCTGAATGTGATCCGCAAATCGATCTGCTGTACAAACAGGAAGTGTAGTGTTGATACTTTAATATGTATGGTGACTGTATCAAACGCTGCTTCACTTTTCTCCGTTTAATCTCATCATGTCTGTATTTATCATGCAGGTATCAGGTGGTGGCTGCACAGCATCACAGAAACTCATTGTTAGTAATGTACTGTAAGAGCCTGCTGGTGTTTGAAGCAGCTGATACCCATTGTTGTGTTTTACACAGCTCCAGAGACTTGATACCGATACTGGTCAACTGGTACAGATACTGGTATCTAGACAGGAAGTTCTTCTGACTCAAAAGCAATCCAAAGCTTTGGTCCTCTATTTCAGTCTGCCTCCAACTCACATTTTTTTTTCCACAGTCCATTGTACCCAAAGCAAATAGCCCCCCTGTTCATCAAAAGCAATATTATATCCCCGCTCTCAACAAGACCCTTTGATGTCAAATTGACTCTTTAGTGAACAGCTCTTCATGGTTTTGATATTGCCTGGCAACAGTAAAAAAAAAAAAAAAAACAACAACCCTCATGGCATCTTCAGGATGAGGAGTGGATGGTAGGATGGATGGTTTAGGTGGTGGAGATGGAGAGGAAGGATGGTGGATTGTATTAGCCATAATGGTGCTGTATGATGTAGGTTTCTGTTTGGCTGGCCTCCAGGCAGTGCAGCAAAATTAAAGCCCAGAAAATCGGATTATGAAGGGCCCCTGGGGGTGGGATGCCCAGTAGCCGGCTGATGAGCGCTCTTCTACTCTTAGCTGTCTCCTGCACAGCGAGCCCTGCTGTTTGCTGGGAGGCCAATTTGTTAACAATTATTGCTCGTTAGTGTAGCTTCCTGCTAGCAAAGGGGGATTCCATGGTGGAGACAATAGCCAAGGTCTATTGTCTCGTAATTATCGCAGTTTGAGGGAAGGCTGCGGCTGATAGAGAGTGTCTGAAGTCGCTTGCTTTCCTGATTGCCAATTTGCTATGAAGACCCCTGTTATCAATGACACCTGTTGTGCCTACTGAGTTATAAGTATGCAATCATTCCTTTTTTCCTCCTGTGCCATTTTTCATCCCCAGCAGCCTGTGTCAATCCAGATTACACTTTGAAGACAGTTCAGCACTGATGTATGTTAAATTCTGTTCTCAGAATGAGATAATGTAAGTAGACACTGTAGAGTCTCTTGTCTGCTCATTAGAAGAATGACTGCAACTTAGATTTTTTTTGCAGTAAAAATATGGAGTTATTTTTTTTTCAGTTAATTGATTAATAACTTCTGCTGGTTGTAAAAACAAAAATGCTTCCATCACAAGAAATCTTTCAGAAGACGATGAAATATATGATTTATTGGACAATAAAGATTAAAAATAATTTTATATTGTGTTTCTGTGGATAGAGAAATTAATATATTGAATAAATAGAGAATACTTTCAAGCTCCAACTGTAGGAGCTGAATAAGAAATGAGTAGACACTTTATATGGCTACACATTGAAAGTCTTCCTCATGACTTGACAAATTTTGACAATTTCTTTCAAATTAATTTTGGACTAGTAAAACACAACAATACCAAAAAGTGAATACTAAATGTCCAAATCAAAACAATACACCCTAAAAAACTGTTACAGAGCAAACAAAAGAAGCACAACTTAGCTTTAAACTTATTCATTTAATTTGATTCATCAAAGAATTTTGCTCTTGACATTATACCATTTAATGATGTAGTTATATTTACTGCCTTAGTTTTCGTTTACCACAGTAATTAATTGATTCCTCCAGGTATCAACAACACATACAACCTCCTCCAATTATGATGCAAACAAACAGTTAACGAATAGCCTCAAACACAAACTGGTTACCATCAAGCTTTAGTACACCTCCTATTCTCCACCGTGTGTGTCGTCTTCCCACAGTCAGCCCTGCTCAGCCTCCTCACAAGAGCTGTTCACACAAAGGAGCTCATTGTGTAGTTGTGCCTCAGTTTTAATGAACCCACTCTCCTGCTCTCCTGCTCTCCTGCGCTCGCTCCTCCCTCTCCGTCAGTCCCCTCCCCTGACCCCACCTTCCTCATGTATATCACAGCATCCTCCCTCATTATTCATGAGCTGGTATCAGCGTAGTCATGTGCGCTGACACCACGGAGGACAAAAAAAAAAAAAGGGGGGGGAGTGTCTGAGTGAGCTAGAGTCACAACTCAGGCATGCGAGTGTGTTCATGTGTGTGAAATAGAGGGAGCGGGAGAGAGGAGAGAGGAGACACACGGGCTGATGCTGACACGGCTGCTGCTACTTGTACCACTGAAGCTGAAGCTGCTGATCACATCTGAACCCTCATCTGTAAGACTCAGCAGGAGCTTTGCAGTTCCTCTTCTGAGCGGTGCTTGTTTGTGACGTCTGTGTGTGAATGGGACGCCTGAGAGAGATGCCAGCCAAGGAGTGACTGATGAGAACCAGCGCTCCAGTGTGGAGGGTGACCCCCTGTGTCCGTAGCACCACTACTCGGGGAGAATTGGACGCCTGGCGTTTTCACGACGACTATAATGGGCTGCAATCTGTGCACTTTACAGAAGCGAGAGGAACACTACAAGCTGCTGTATGAGATTGCCCAGGTGAGCAGAGGCACGGCTGACTCCAGCATCGATTTGTGCGTGTGTGTGTGTGTGTGTGTGTCGTTGTATATGATTAATTATGCGTGCCTTGCAGAGAGCAGTTCCAGGCTACTGGTTCAAAAAGCAGAGACGTGAGCCTTGTTGGGAGTGTTTTAGGGGGAAGATTGAATAGGCATGAATGAGGGATTGCTACACAAAATGAAAGTGAGGCAGTATAATGTAGAGAGAGAGAGAGAGAGAGAGAGAGAGAGAGCGCTTCTTACGTACCAGCAGATGTGTTTTGAGTAATGAGCAGTTGTTTAGAGAGCAGACAGTGTGGAGCCCATTCATTTTGCAGCATGAATGGGCTATTTTTATTAAAATAGTAGCAGCTGAGTACATAGAGAAAATATTGGGCCAATTCCAGGGTCCTTGAAAGTGACTCAGAATGTGTCAAAGACTGAATTCTCTCTCTGCATTTAAAGTTTCCGTTTGGCATTTTTGGTGCTGCCCTTAGACAGTTCAGTTTTTTTTTTTTAACTTGTTTGAGAATACTTTCTACGAATGGTCTTCATCTCAGTACACGAACACATTCAACATGCACGTACAATTATTACAGTTTCAGCTTAGTTTTTTTTTGTTAGACTTCTGATGAAACAGCAGAATAATTGCTTAAAAGAAATGACACCAGAGCTTTTTTTTTATTTCTGGGTGTTTCAAAGACTTATAGGCAGAGGACAATGTCTCAAAATGTCGTTAAGCTTAACAGATAAACAAGCATGCACCAAACCACCTCCGCTCTCCTCATCAGCATCCTTCGACAGGGTACTAACTGTGAAGCTCCATGTTTCTGGAAGTGGAGTGTTCCCCCTCCCTCTCCGGTATTGTCTGCCTTCACGCCACTGTGATCACAGCCTCATTAGCCGTTTTATACATTAATTAGACGTGAAATGTCTTCTTATCTTTGTGAAGAGACAGGGTGAGAGGGAGCAAGAAAGGTAAACTATCTTGACTCAACCACTGCCTGTAGCAATCAGTTTGTGTTCGAACCTAAGACGCTCCAGAAGTCTGGTGGTGGAAATTGTCCGTCAAAATTTAGAGCTGCATGAATGACAGGTGAAAGCTGTGCAGCAAGCCTCTAGACCAGCAATAAAGAAGGATGCATCCGCTAATGGTCTGCTTAATATGAGCAAACAGAAAGAATAGTCCAGGGAGCATGAAGGATGAGTAGGTAGCCAGCACAGTGCCTGCCTCTCCTCTCCTCGGGAGGAACATAAAAATAGTGCTGTCTCTGTGCTTATCTTGGCTTTTTGTGCCTCTCTTAAAAAAAATTGCGTCAACTCCTTTTCTTGTGGTTTAGCAGAGGGGATCAGTATCCACCAAGTGGGCCAGTCTCCAGGGCACACTCACTGTTGACAGGGGCTCTGTGGCATGTCTGTCCACCCACTGATATACGGAGCCGGCTCAGGCGGGAGCTGCTACATCAGCAGCTACTTTCTGATCACCACTGTGGGAGGAGAGGCGGGAAGGATGTAGTGCATGGAGGATAAAGACTGGGATGGGAATAGAGAGTAAGCCGTTAAAGATGCCGTTGCTAGAGACAAAGTAAGGGAGGGGGGGGGAAAGGATACAAAAAGGAAAAGAAGGAATTAGCTGACACCTTGCTAATGCGGGTAAAAGACTTAAGAGGTCAAAAAAAGATGAGAAGGACAAGTTATTACAGGGATACATCTCATATCCTCCCTCTCAAAGACATTTTCTCACGTGCTCACACATGTCCTCAGGGACTACGAAACAAGCAGTACATCCTCCACATAAACATAAAAAGCAGCAGCACAATGACAGAAATAAAGGTTCAGACAGAGAGTGGAGTCTGCTTCATGTAGCAGAGCTCTCCCTGCAGCTACAGAAGTGTGTCACTGTGTCTTTGTGGTCAGGAGTTGTGTTGTGACAGCGGGGAAGCTTCGCATGCTGCTTGCACATCCAGATACCTAATCCTGTTTCTTACTTATTGTCTCATCTGTCTAGCTGTAGCTGGCACAGCTCTCACCCTTCGCCCCATGTTTTCCATTCTCACTACTCCTCGCTCAGTTCTTTATTCTTCCTTTTTTATGCTGTCTGTCTGCTGTTCAGAAACACCCACACACCCACACACCCAGACATATACATTCATACCACGCGTGCACGCACGGACACACACACACACACACACACACACACACACACACACAGGCTTCTTTACTCAGAGTTTGTCATATGTGTATGCAAATGAGATAGAAGTGGTTTCCTGGTGTCACAGCGTGACTGACCGGCCTTGCAGCGGGTTGATTCGGGAGCAGGAGTCAGTCACAGCGGTTGGTTAGCCACCTTCCTCCCCTTCCCTTCGCACCTAGAAACAATTTTGACACCCTCTCTGTCTGCCTGACCCCAGTAGCTGTGGGAGATTTATGACTAGCCAGCTCCCTCACTCTCTCCATTCCCCCCCCCCCCACCTTCTCCCTGTTCTCACGGCTGCGGGTGTTCTGCATGGAAATGTGCTCACCTTTCGCAGCTGGCCTGCAAAGCTATCTCACAGTGCTGACATTCTTTATTTATTGTATCAGCTTTCTTGCCTGCACAAAAAGACACATGGCCTTACTCTTTTCCTGGCTCTCCATGCTCCAACTTTGTTTTATATTTATGACGCCTGCTGATCGTCCCTCATGCATTGTTCTTTTTTTTTTCTGTCTTTCACTCTCTTCTCTTCTCTTCCTCTGATCTCTCATCTACCTTGGTCACATTTGTTTCAACCTTTGCTCTAGCCTGCTCTCTGCTGGATTCCACTTCTGTTAACCTCCCAATGATTGTCCCCTGTGCAGAGGAGAGGGAGTAGGAAGTCCATTCTTAAATTGGATGGATCCTTGTTGAACCTATTGATTTGAGGATCATCAGCTCCCATGCTACGGTCATCCAGAGTCTTACCGCCTGCATTCTCCACAAAGCTGTTGCTCAGGCAATTTTTGCAAACAATAACATACTGTAGTTGTATTCGCTCTGTGATCTGGCAGAGCTATGTGAGTCCCATTGTGTCCATAAGCTCCCCTCGTGAGTGTCACATATTGTCTGTGCACCGCTGAAGCCCAGCGATGTGTGGCTTTTTTTGGGGCTAATTAGCAGAATAGCAGATGTTGATGGGAAGAGCAACACAGCGTAGCCCAGAGTTATGTGGGTAGAATTAGATTTTTGCAGACTGCAAGAGTGTCGATGCATTAATGATTTTATTTTTCTTACAACAAAAAGCCTTTTGTGAACAAACAAAATGAAAGGACCAACAAGTACTTTTTAGGGTTCTTAACTCAACTGTTAGGCCACAGCTAGGCTACAGTAGCAGACTGCTAATGCTCATAAATCTCTCTAATTCATTTCAACTTGAGCAGGACATACTATAAAAACCTCCTCCTTATCCATTTCCTTTTTTTTGTAATTTGCCAATGAGCCTGGATTTCTTTTTGCGTCAAATGTTTTTAAAGTAGAAGATCCAGTTCTATAAGTTTTATTAGACGAGTGCAGAATAACTCTTGCTGCATTTCAGAAATAAATGGAAAGCAGCTTCTCAGCTCAATGAGGCACAGCAGTCCCTGATAACTTGCTGGTGCATATGAATGAGAATGAGGCACGCACACACTTGTATACACACACACGCATACACACACACACACTGAAGACACTCACAAGCACACACACACACACACACACAGATAACTGTCTATGGGAAACAAAAACAGTCTTAGAGAATATTCTAACTAAAAAAAACAGAAAGCCATGCTCATGAATTTTCAAGTGTGACAAGCGCTCAGGAGACGACTGTAACGGAATCTCAGAGTTTAGCGATGTCCTGTTGAGCACTGACACCAGGTTGTCAGGACAGGACGGACAGGCAGACGTGAAATGAAGCAGATCCGGAATTCATTTGTTCCTGGGGCTAAGGCAGATCCCCATGAGCATGGTCCTGCAGCGAGGTTGATGTTAAGTTCTGCTTTGTAGCCCCAGATGTAAAACCTGTGGCTCGAGAAAGGTCTGAGGAGGACACAGCTGACTTGTTGCTGCCTGTGCAACAACACTGGCCATGTGTGTAATGGATATGAATTCATAAAAGGTTGAGCAACTATCACAGCAGCCAGGCTTCCTGAGAAAAAGGGTTTGGCAAGCTGCGCTGAGCTGCATGGATCACTACAATGAAAGCCTGCAGCAGATTCTAAGTAAGCAGGGACGTTAGTTTGGCTTTTTGTATTTAGTGTTGCAAATTGGGAGGGGGCAATCTTAAAGTTTCTCTAACTCTGAAAGTAAAAGTCTATTTAAATGATAGTTGACATGTAGCTTTAGCACTTGCAAAACTGATTACTCAAAGAGACTTTCCCTGGGAAAAATTGATAATTGTAATGTCTGACTGGTGTCACTCATAACAGTCCAGAAGAGATACATTACTATCAAGGTTAAAAGGTGCAGGTTTGTGTGCATAAAAATGACAGCTGAGGATGATTGAAATTGGTTCAAAAATACAATTTTATTGGCTTGGAATTACAACTGATGATGTGAGGAGAAAACTCATAAACGTCACAGTCAAAATCCATTTATTTGACATTTTACATCAATTTGAGACAAATTCAGAAACTACTGCTTGATGTGTTACTACCAAAAAAAAAAATAATCTTCTTAATTGTCACGTAGCCCTTTTTTTTTTCTTTGTTTCAAATGATTGCAAACAGGATATGTCAGAATTCATCCAATGATGAACCAAATCACGCTCAGAATTTCTAGATTTGTCTGACATTATATAAAAAATGAATGACTCAACTGATTGAGGAAACGATCACTGAATTGATTAAACCGGGTCCAATAACAAATGGGTATCCACCTTGGAGGGGGGGGGGGGGAATCTGAACCAAGCATTCCATTCCACATCACTTCCCTGAGTATGCATGTGCCTGTAATGGCTTTGACGGTACATTAAGGCTTTCGGACCTTGCTCTCAACCCCCACCA